CTAGTTTCACAACCACAACCTCTCTGAAAGACCAGATTTCCAGGAGCCCAAGAGGTTATAAACCTAAGTCATTCATCACCCCCAAAAAGGATGCTTCCTGGAAATAGAAATGGATTCAAAAAGAATTTGGGCAAATCTGTGAATGACAGAGCAGCCATAAATAGCTACTAAAAGAAGCTGGTATACACCTGACCTTTAGGATTGACGTCAAGGAAGATGGTTGTAGCCTCCAACAGCGGTATCTTAGGCCTAGTGTTGGCAGCCAAAGACTAGGTCAGATGGATCTGACCCAGAAGAGCAATGCCCATGTTCTTATATGGCCTGGTGCAGAGCACCCAGGGCTGTGAATTAGAAGGCAAGCTGAGTGCCTGGCTCTACCCATTTATAGCTGCGTGACCACATGCAAGTCACTTATTTGCTCCAAATCTCATATTCCTCATCTGTCAATCATGGCCAATAACAGCCCATGATCCCTTATCCAAAACGCTTGGGTGCTTCAGAAATCAGAATTGCTCAGATTTTAGAAAGGTACTCTAGTGCCTATAGTGTTTAGCAGCCCCGGCAGAGTCTAGGGCAGCACTCTGTAATCAAACACATTAATATTTTTGCAGCAAAACATATGAATATTCAAAATAAGCAGGATAAATATAGCCTCACGTCAGTTCAATTCAGGTTTTGCCACTAAATGAGTTTGCTGCAAACTTACAAAAAGCCTTTTAGTTTCCAGAGCTTTTCAGACTTCATTATCACAGATATGGGATTATGGACCTGTACCCCCTTAGGGAAGACTGTGAGGGGAAGAGAGATAAAGTCATTAAAGGTGCTTTGCAAAGAAGAAAGCGCTGCAACTGATAAAAGGCATTATTAATATTATTGCTGTGGCTATCATTATTCCAAGAATACACTTTTCCGAACAGAATTTAGCTTGATAGCAGAGGTGCCTGGCAGAATGATGAAAGGGAACCAAGAGTGACTTAAACCAAGGTCAACGCCTGTTGGCCCTCTATATGGTCAACCACTAACAACATAGCAGCTGGCCATCTGAGAGACCAGGCAAAGGGCCAGGCAGACCTCCAACATCTTGGCCACATGGCCCTGTACCCTAGAACTGGCCCCAAGGAGCCTCTGGGAAGGGCCGCACACGTGGGCCCAGGGACCTGGCTGAGACCATGTCTTGTGGTTCCTGAGCAGCCCTTCAAGAACCAGGCAGGAGTTGCCACTGTGCGCGGGATACTTACTGCAGCCGATCTAAGGGCTCATCTGTATAAGATCCAGAAGCTCCTGGGGGACCACACCCCACTCTGCTTCTGTCACACTGAATTCAGAACATACTAAGACCAGTCTGTATGAACCTAGGGAGACTAAGGGCTATAAATGAAGACTATGTTCAGACTTAGGTCAACCATACAACCCTGCGATCTTACTACATATGTATAGAACTCTGAGCATGACAAGGTACACGTGGCCCAGCTGAGCTGGGTCCCAGACCATGTCCAGACAAGTCTGCATGCACAACTGCTCCCTCCAGCCTTTCAGAAAGAGAAAGAGAAAGAAGAGAGTCTGGTCTTTCGGAAGCCTCAGATGAACCTTCCTCCCTCAGACATGACCCTCTGTCATCTTCCCCCTTCCACTGGGGAAGATTATGGGGCCCAGAGCTTCTTCTTCACCTGCCTGGGGAATGCTGCTGATCCATCAGCTCTTCTCACTGTTCAGACTCCCTTCTGGTTCCTTCCTTTAGGTAAGTAAGCCCCATCTGATCAACTCAACTGGTGTCCTTGTCTGGTCTTCCCATCGCTCCATGCCTACATTTGACATTGCTTTTACTTCTTGCATGGGACCAGGATCCAGGACTTCACTAAGTTTCATTCTCACTATCTGTTTAGCCAATAGGTTCCCGCTCACTCCAATACCAGCTTGGGATCAAGGCACGGAATTCCATAACAAACCCCCTGACTGCCTCATTTCCCAGCACTTTGCCCTAACATCCTTTCTATTCCCTTCTGCCCCCCAAGAAAAGCAAGAATAACTGCTGGGTACTTCATCTTCACCAACACTCTGGCCTATGGCCTTAAAAATAAACCTGTAGCCTGTTACTTCATCATGGTCATCACTGTTATATTTCTACCCAATTCTATAGGTTCCTGGCATCAAAATCTTTCCCTCTGATTTTTTTTTCTTGCCTTTTTGTTTGTGCTGGCAGCGATGTTTTTTCTTCTACCAGAGCATTTCTCAAACTGCTGATGGGTTGGCAGGTAAGGGGTGGGGGGAGACAGAGAACAGTAGTAAATAGAGAAGTAGCACATTAATCCTAGAGCTTTGAGGGTAAGGAAGACAAAAAATAAAAAGCCACCCACAAAATATACCTAGCCAGGAGCTGAGGGGCTGCCATTAAGAGTAAGGGACAAACACACAGGGGACGGTTTTCACCCTGCCACCACCTTTTTTTTTTTTTTTTTTTTTCAAGAGATAGGGTCTCACTCTGTCACCAAGCCTGGAGTACAGTGGCGAGATCATAGCTCACTGCAAGCTCACACTCCTGGGATCAAATGATCCTCCTGTCTCAGCCTCCCAAGTAGCTGGGGCTATAGGTGTGAGTCACCACACCTAGCTAATTTTTTAAATATTTTTTTGGAGAGATGAGGTCTCGTCATGTTGCCCAGGCTGGTCTCGAACTTCCTGGTCTCAAATAGACCTCCAGCCTCAGCCTCCCGAATTGCTGGGATTACAGGTGTGAGCCATTGCGCCTAGCTCTGCCCTTCTTGATTTCTTTAGACCCCCCACAGCTTCCCAGAGAAGGTGCTGCCTTGGCTCTAGCGTACGGGTCTGCAGCACCTCACTTTCCACTCTCAGTCATTCTCCCAGCCAGCGGCCCACAGCGTGACGCTGAGGATTCCAGGACCAACAGCTCACTATCACACACCCTCGAGGACAGGGACATTCTCTGTGCCACCTCAGAGCCAATACAACCCCGGTGGACACTATACACTAGAACTCAGAGCCAACGGGACCATGCAATGAGGAGACCTAACCAACATGGAGGACGGAGGGTCAGCTCTACACCCTTGTGGTGACTATGTAGCAGTCCAACGCTGGTGGTTTCTGGATTTTCCTTCATTAATTCAGCACCAACCCTGCTGGCCGTCTCCATTTTAAGAAGTGAGTAAAACAAGGCTCAGAAAGTTTAAATAACTATCACAGGCTCTTTGGAATATAACAGGGCGAATCCTCCATCCTTCCCCAGAGGAATGAGGTTCTCGCTGAACAGGAAATTGGAATTCCCAAAGAACGTGATATCTTTGGTGGCCCTCTTGGGTAAAGAAAAGTAACTGGGACCCAACAAGAGCCAGAAAAGAAAAATTACTTTCCACCAAACCCCATTTCTCATAACACATAGCTGAAACAATTCACATCCGGAGAAGATGATAAATCTATCTGGTCAAGTTTGGGGAGGGGGTTTCCTCTTCAGTTTGAGCAAAAACAAACAAAACCTCGGTCCATTTCTGAGCAGTACAAACATCGAGACGACACACCTTAGTGGCGGTTATTTTTCACACCCACCGGAAAAAAAAAAAAAATCGGCTGCATCTAGCTGTGCCGCACTTTCCACAAGGTAGGTCTCAGAGCTTCCGAAGAGGCTATGTCGGAGCAGGTTCCGGCCGGGGGGATCAGACTGAGTTCCAGATGCCTCCACCCCTCCCCAGCCTCTCTCACTCACATCCCCTGAACCTGAATGAGCCACAGCAGAGCGGGGGTGGGAGCAGTGCCAAAGTGGAAAGTCCGCCCCAGATCAGCAAAACAGCAGGCCAGAGGGTGTGTAGGGAAACGCTGTCACTGATGACAACAGAAAACGGGATTTCTTGACACCATTCATCTGACCTGGGGATTACAGGGTCAAATGACCAGCATATAGTTTATGACAGAAGCAGGAAATAAACCCAAACCCACCACTGAGTCTCTCTGTTATTTACTCTGCTTCTGATAAGCAATCTTCAAAACCCTCTGCATTGTAGACGTGATCCTCTTCAAGACTAAGTGACTCCAAGAGTCAGCAAAGTACAAGAGGGTTAAGACCTGAATTTGGATCCCACTCTGCCTCTTACCATCTATGTGACCCTAGAAAAGGGACTTTCTATCTGGGTCTTGGTATCGTCCTATATAAAAAAAGGACATTACCTACCTCGTCGGGCTGTTGTAATGAAAATGCAACTCCGTGTAAAGCGCTTAGTGCTGAACCAAGCATGTCATAAGAGCTCAATGAATGGTTATTTCGCAGAGAAGGAAATGCAAGCCAGAGGAAGCCAGTGCTAGCCTGAAGGAGCATTTAATTCAATGTGATCAGAGATGGGATAAGAATGAGACTTTACAGGCTGCAAGACCAAGACTCTCCTACCCATCTTTACCCCTTGAATTTAAATCAACTCCCCGTAAATGCATGTGCAGGATCAGAGAGTGAGAAAGGAGAGGGAGCAATAAGATGAACGTTGACCAAGAATGACGCCTGGCACCTGCAGCTGCTCTCTGGCCTGGCACCTGCAGCTGCTCTCTGGCCTGAGCGGCCTGCAGCCCCTCCCGCCCTCCTGAGCTGCAGATGGGGACAAGCCTGCCTTTGCAGGTGGAAACCTGGGGCCCTGAAACCTGTCAATGTGGCCAGATCAAGGCCATGGGAGCCCCTCATCCTGAACCCCACTTCCTCCTCTCCACGTTACCAATCACTCCAGGCAAAGAGGCATAGACCCAACAGCAGAAAAAACAAACAGCAAAAAGAGAGGGAAGGGCCTAGCAAGAAGCTGGCCCCAGTGCTTTCTGGATATACCCTGGGCCCCCTCACTACACTCTGAAGAATGTGCCCCCTGCCAAGGACTTCAGAAGAAATTTTATTTATTTATTTATTTTAAAAAAAAAAAAAAAACAGCAAGGAAGACAAGAGAGCCAGGCTCCTGGCTCAGGAGCAGCCAGGGTGTGAAGGAAAGGCGTGGGGTGTGGGGCTGGGCTGGGCCTACCTGTGCTGCTCCACGGCCTCATTATCAGGAAGCTCGACCCCACACACGCTGCACTGCTCCCCGAGGGTCCGGCTCTCTGACTTCATGCCCACGGCCAGCTCACCCAGCTTGCTGAACAGCTCCCTCTGGATGAAGCCCTGGGGCAGCAGACCCCCGTAGGTGCTGAAGTCCATGGAGACGGCCAAGGCAGGCTGGACGTGGAGGCCAGAGGACACTGAAGATGGCATGCTCAACACGGCGTCAGCCTTGTGGTTGGGCAACACAGAGTAGATGCCCAGATGTTTCTCAGCTGGGGGTGCTGGGTGCTCAGGTCGGCCAGCGGGGCCCTGGCCAGCCTCCGCTGCGGGTGGCAGCTGCTCGGCACTCTCCTCTCGCCCGTAGTGCAGCTCCCTAGCACTGGTGATGACGCTGCTTCGAGTAGGGGTCCCGGGCCCCTCTTTGCCCCTTTCCTCGACCTTGTCCCCCATCCCTCCTGAGATGCTGGACTCGGCTGCCCCAGGGCTGTCCTGGCAGGGTGCTTCATCCACCTGCATCATCTCTGTCTTCACTTCAGCCACCCCAGGGTGCCGCCCACCCCCAGCCAGAGTTGGCTCCTCGGGCCCTGCAGGTGGCTGAAGAGTTCCCTGCAGAAGAGACTGTCCTATGGTCATCAAACTGTCCACTGCAGCCTTGGTGGGACTCATGGCTGAAAGACCAAATGAGGTGGAGACTGAAGGGCTCTGGTCCACCATGGGCCCAGGGAGGCTCTGTCCAGCCACACTGGCATACCCACTCTCCTCGCTGGAATGCTTCGAGATGAAGATGTTCTTGAGGTACCGGGCCTTGCGGTCCTCTTCTTCCTCGGCCCCACCATCGGCCATAGTGGCCTCCGTGTCATTGTCATCTGAGGCCTGGATGGTCTCCAGGATCTTCAGGCACTGCTCCTCCAGGTATTCGATCTCCAGGATCTCAGCTGCATACAGCAGGTCATCCAGGTCCTCTGCCTTGGCTTGCAGCGTGGCCGTGTACGCATATTCCAGAATCTGCTGAAAGGTCTTTGGCGAGAGGAAGTCCAGAGTATAGTGCTGACTGTTGCGGTGGAAGAGGATCTCAAACATCTTGCTGGTGCAGGCCAGCACGGTCCGGTGGGCGTGGAACTCCTGGCTGTCCACCATGATGACCACATCACACAGAGTCCCGGCCAGCCGCATCTGGTTGGCCTTGCACAGCAGCCCCGTGGGGTGGCTGGGGTTCTGCAGCTGGATCATGCCCATCTTCGTCAGATCCATGGTGCTCCCCTCGGCTCAGGCATGAGGCTCTCTTTCCTTCTGGGCTCTGCGTGGCCGGGCAGGGTGGGCTTTCTGGGCCAAGGAAGGGGCCTGGAGGAGAGAGGGTAGGAAGAGGCGAAAGAGACAAACGAACAAAAGACAGATTCATTAGTGTCCCTAAAAGTAAAAATTCAAACACTACAAGATGCCCCTCTAGTCCTCACCACCAAGACCTCAGCAAGAGGGTCTCAGAAATTTTAATGGAAGAGGCTTCCTAGAAATCTACCAATCTGCCTTTACCAGCCCAGGGATGAAGAGAGTAAAGAGAAGGTTCTGCCTCAGCATTTGCCTGGTTCTCCACTCTGTAACATCTGTTGGACAAAGTGAAATGAAAATTACAGCAAGTCCTCTGAGTCCTAAGCCTTCTCTGCGTCTGAGAGTAGGGGCTTCCTATGCAAGGCCAGCATTCATTATCGAGGAATGCCAGCATGTACTTAAAATTGACAAGATTTCAGCCCTTTCATTTAGTCAACTTCACTCTCAACCCCCTGGACAGCAAACCTCATCTTCAAAACAAAGTTTTTTTCTAAACTCTGCCTCACTGTGGTGGCCACAGGAGCAGAGTCAAACCTAGCTGGGACTAGAAGCCCGGTCCACAGAAATCTACAGGCAAGGGTCTCTTCTCCCCCAGGGCCACCCTCTTACCATCAGCCGGGGCCTCTGTCCTTGCACTCTTCTCAGAGCTGCACAGCACGGACAGACCCAAGCCTGTCCCCTCCTCGGGCACTAGCAGGAACACACACACATAACTCACACACAAACTTGGGTCAGTTCCACCCACAGGTGCCTCAAAGTTATTGTATATGTAATCCCAAATCTGGATCTCTGTGTGTGTGCATGTGTGCACCGGCCAGAGTTTGTCAACACACGTGCACATGCTTACATAAGAGGCTGCACTTGCCCTTCTGCCCACAGTGCCCAGTGGACAGGAGGACCTAAAAAAAATTTTTAAAGGATAGGTCATGGAGCCAGGTCGTAGGAAATACGTTCCCCTACAGCCAGGAGTGCTCTTGCAGGGCTGGGCGCATGAACTCTAAGTGTTTCCCCGCAGGCTCCAAGGAGTGGGCAAGTCCTGTGACCATGAGCAGCAAGTGATGCTGGACATGGCTCAGAGGTGCTAAAAGTGACAGTGGCACCAGCATCCACGGCGTGAGTCACAACCCGCACTAAGGGAAACCAGGGCTGGGAGACAAAGGCCTCTTTCTAGAGCCGGTTCGGAATCAACAATGGGCTCCTGGACCGGAACCCCACTCACTCGAGGAGTTTTTGAAACACCTCGATGGCGCAGGAGCCCCCCAGCCCCTGCCTTGCTGTGGCCAATATTGCAGCGGACGAGCTGGGAGCAGAGAAGAGCAAGGTCTCTCCCTCGCTCGCACACGCTGCTGCCTCCACCCCGAAAAGCAGCCCTGTAGGCTCCAGAGCCACCAAGCTCAGGCAGAAAAGGGAAACAGGACGGCTGGTCAAGACGCTCTGCTGCCCACCCCGGGTGGGGACCGAGGCCGTCAAAGGTGGGACGACCATCCAGCCACGCCTCGCCACCGCGTGCTTTCCCGCAGACATGGGGGTTTCGGAGAACCGGGAGTGAGCAGCCGAAAGAATGGAAGCTTGCCCACCTGAATTCCTTCCCCCCAAAACAAGCCCTCTGGGTCCCCAGGGGAATCAGGATGCCCTCGGTCAGCCGCCTCCCCACCCGCCGCTCGGCGCCCGCGATCCGGCCGGCGCTGGCTGCGGCGTCCAGCCCGGCGCGCGGGGGGGAAAGCCGGCGCTCACCCGCCCGAGCTCCGGGGATCGGTCGCGCTCTCGCACGCCCCCACGTCCCAGCGACCCCCACCGAGACTTGGAGACGACTTCGGCAAACTTGGGGAAGCAACTTTTCCCGGGGAGCCAGACTCCTGAAAGAAAGGCAGCCGAACTAGGGAGGAGGGAAAGCGAAAGAGACGGGGACCGAAGGCGGCGAGAGTCCGGGCAGGCAGGGCTCCGCGGCGGGCGGCGAGGAGGCGGACCCGCCCCGCGGCCACGGGGAAGCACAAAAGCCCCGCAGCGAGTCAGGGGAGGAAAGGCGAGAAGGGGTCGGCTGGCCCTCCCTCTTCGACCTAGGGCCGTGACCCCCGGGGAGCGACCGACAGGGGTCCCGGGCCTCTGGCCAGCGGCGCCGGCGGCGGGCGTGCCAGCCCCGGCAGGTCGCGAGCGTCCCGGGGAGGTGGCGAGCGAGACGGTGCCCGGCGCGACTGTGCGTCCCGCGGGTCCGCGGGCTGGCGGGATCGTGCGCATTTCGAGCGCGTGCGGGAGTGTGCGAGAGGCTGTGCGAGCGAGCCGCGGGCGCGCCGGGGTGGGAAAGGCATCCCGAACGCATCAGGTGCAGAGCCCGGGCACCCACCGAGCGCGGCCGGAGCGCACCGCGAGCTCCGGCGACACAGCCGGTCCCGCCGAGAGCCGAAGAGGGCCCGGAGACCCTGCGGAGCTTCCCTCCCTCCCCTCAAAAAGGGGACCAAGTCTGACCAAGAAAAAAGAGCTCACCACGTTTTTTCAAAGAGAAACAAAACCCAAGCGAGTCCCAGTCCTGCGCCCCTCCGCCCCCAGATCCACTCGTCAGCTCCTCTGATTCCAGCTTCCCTGCCGGCCGGTGAATAAACACACAAATAAATAAACCAAAATCCTATCTCGCGCCGGCGCACAGGTCCGCATACATATGAGCACCCACCGGCTCTCGGCTCTTCCACCGGCCCCTGGCGGTACAAAGCCTCCCGATCTCCGACCCCCGCTCGCGCCCTCAGCCCCTGCAGCCCGCTCTGCCCCCACCTCTCACCCTGACCGAGCCTTGGAGAGGAAGGGCTGGGGAGGCAGCTGCGCCCAAGCTGACAGCCGGGGCTCCCGCTTCTAGCCGACCCCGCAACCCGCGGCGGCGACGACGGCTGCAGCAGCGAGAAGGGAGCACGCCAAATGAAATAAGGCACAAGCCCAGTGGCCGAGTGGCCGAAGCGAGCGCGCGCTCCGCAGACCTTTCCAGCCCCGGGGCGCCCCGGCGCGCGGCGCTCGCTGGGCGGTGCGCCTTTCCCCGGCCCCCACTCACCGCTGCCGAGCCGGGCACCGTGGGGTGGGTGTGCGTGCCTGTCGGGGGGTGTGTGCCTGTGTCGGGGAGGGGTGTTGCTGGGGAACTGTTGCTCTCCGTATCACGGCGGCAGCGGCGGCATCGCCGGGCAGTTCGCAGTACCCGCTCTCATCGCCCTCAACTCCTCTCTGCTGCGAGGTTAGCAAATCACCACCGGCTGCTGCGCCTCCGCCGCGTCCCACGTCAACGCCGAGCCCCCTCCCCTGCGAGGCCCCGGCGCCTCTCCATCTTTAGTGCTGGCGGCCGAGCCCGGCTCCCTGCCCACAGCTGCCCCCCTTCCCTCCCCCCTCCCCCGCCGTCCCCGGGCTCAGCCCGCCCACCACCCCGCACTGGCCGAGCCCGCGCGCGCTCCCCGCCCCACCCCTCCCTCCCTCTCCCCTCCCCTCCTGTCCCCGCGCTCAGCGCTCCGGGCTTCGCCTGACATCTAGCTGCTGCTGGGGCGCCGGCCGCTGCGCTCTCCGGCCGAGCGGAGAGGAAGACCGGGCTAGTGGAGAGGAGTGCAAGGGACTCCGAGCCCTTGATGGGAGCACCGAGGGTGAGGGGCGAGGAGCAGCCCCCACCGCACTCCCAGATTTTTCATTTCCACTGGACACGGGTTTTGTCCCCCGCCCCGGTGCTCCAAACGCAGAGTTTTGTCCCCGGTTCCAATGTTTGCCCCCAATTCAGTGCACGTCATCGCGCCTTTCACTTTTTCTCCGGAGTCAGGGTCGCATCCCCAGTTGCCGCCGGCGTCGGTTTTATTATAAAAGGTCACTCTCGCAGCCCAAGCCCAGGGCTTTCCTACCCCCGACTTGAGCACCCGCATTTCGAGAAGTCTCGGGTGCAGAGTTGGAAGGCCCAGGTGAACCAGGTACCGGAGGGTCTGCGGAGATCTACTGTGGAGGCGACGCGCTCCCTTTCAGCTGTTGTGATTGCTGGAGGCCAAGGTCGAGTCCTGAGAGAAACTTTTCTCTTGGGCAGCCCCTCGGATCTGCCCCCCAGATGCCTGGACGGAAAGAGTTCCCAAGAACTGCACCCAGCTCACTGCACAGCCCTCAAGGGGCGACAGGAAGCTTGGAAAAGTTGTGGGCCCCTCAAAAGTGCGTGTTCCTCTCAGCTGGCCGCCCCACTTCAGAGAGTAGAGTTGAGTTCTTTAACCCGGGGTAAAGCAACCAAAGAAAATTTGTCCTTCCCCTGGTGCAGAAAGCTCCCCTCTTCCCTATTCCCTGGAGCCAGGCAAAGGTAAGGGACAAGAGGTGGGAGGCACTCATCAGGGGACCGTCCTTGCATCTGTGGCCTCTGACTAAAGTCCAGAAGCGTTGGGTGGGAGGTGGGGATGACGGAGAGTGCCACGCAGGGGTCTCAGGACGGTCGGCCATGCGGTTGGAGCTGCACGGGCCTTTCAGTCACTGAGGCCTGAGTCTGCGTGTCAGTCCGTGACTTGCAGGCAAAGTCACGGACAGGCAAGGAAAACCTTGGGGCAAAGGTTTTCCATGGGACCCACACAGAATCACATCTCCATGGGTACCTCTGGCACTGCCCCAGACTGAGAGTCAGGCCCCAAGGCTGTAGGGTCATGGAGGGTGGCAGAACTCCCATCTGGCTGCCGAAGGCCAGGCAGCAGTTTACACTTGGGAACTGATTCAGCTTCACAAAAGCTGCTAACAAGGTATCCCAAGGACAGACCATTCCATCCCAGCAAGAGTCACTGCTATCTCCTACTAGCAGGTAAAGTGCTCAGACCTGCAGGAGTCTACAGAGAGGAGAAGACAGACGGGCAGGGCAGGGGGGCAGACTTGGAAGTGAAGGAAGGGGTCAGTTATCCTCAGATAGCTGTGGATATAGCCACATCAAACCGAGAAGGGGAGGGGAAGCCAGTCCCTGGGTATTCATTTGATTAACAATACAGAGCAATCCCTATTTAGAGACTATCTGGTTTTCCTTCCTAAGGCCTGTGCACCCTGTAAGAAAACAAAGATTTAATGAAAGTTATGGAAGAACCGGTCTGCACAGATAGCAAGAGTGGAGGGATGTAAGGAGTGGAGAAAAGACCCTCCTAACGCCTCACCAGGGAGACAGACGAAAGAATCATTAAACTTGTTGAGCTTCTGCCTAGACGGCTTCTGCCTAGCTGTCCACAGCCACCTACAGGCCTCTCTCCAGCGCAGTAGCAGAAGCAGCACACAATTAACCCCTGATCCTAATCTCCTATTAATCCTCCAAATCAGAGAAAGAGAGAATCTCTGGAAACAATGGGAGAGAAAGAACAATCCTCCATGGTCCTGGACTCCCCCACCCCCACTCCATATTCACTCTATGTGAAAATCTCCCTTGCTTCATAAACTCTGCCCATTAAAAAGCCCAGCCCTTGTTAGTAAGTGTTAAAGAGAGATTAATGCCTGAATTTAAGAGGTGGGGAAGGTAACAAAAAGGAAGAAGGCAGGCGAGACTGTGGGCTGAGTGCCAGCGTTGGGCTCCAAGCATTTCCACTTAGCTCTGAAGGCTGGCTGCACAGCAGTTTGATAAGGTTTATTGGGCCCAGATAAAGCAGCAGCAGCTCCCCCACCAAAACTGGCACCATTTATAGCCAGAGCTGTGTCCTTGGGTCCTGGAAAGGCTGATGACAGTTCCCAGTTCAGAGATTTCACATGGCAGTACCTAAAAACAAGCAGGTTGGAAAATTACAAGAGAAGACTCTCTCTCTCTCTCTCTCTCTCTCTCTCTCTCTCTCTCTCTCTCTCTCTCTCTCTCTCTCATATTTTCATGTGTTTATAGTGATTTTTCTTTTACTTTTTTTCTTGAAGGGTCTGGTAAGGGAGACTGTAATATCAGTTCTCCTAAAAATATAAGAGATCGCAATCTTAGGGAAAGTTCATGCTAGAGACAGGGGAATAGATGCTTTGGCTTTTGGATGGAATGCCATCGCTAAATCTTCTTATTCCCTCATCTCCTCCTTTAACCAAGTGCCAACTCAATCTGAGCACAGTCTGTGCATCTTAATACATTACCTGTATTGTTTTATTTAATCCCCATAACAGTGCTATTAATGCAGGTGCTATTATTTTCCCCATTTCTGCAAACATGAAAACTGAGGCTCAGAGAGATCAAGTGCCTTCCTCAAGATGGTAGATCTCTTTGACATCAGGGCTGAGACTCTAAGTCTGACCATGTAACTGCAAAGCTCATGCTCTCAACTTCTAGATTATACAGTGTCTAGTGAGCTAGATCAAGAAAACAAGGACTTTTAATTTTCCTTCTCCTCTTACTCCACTGAGGCCAGGGCCTAAGGAGCAGCCAGCGAAAGTGAGGACCAAACGTTCTTCACTTGACCAGCAGGTAAACAGACCTAGATCCCCCAGCATCTGTACACTTTCCCTCCTTCCCCAGAATCTCAGGCAGAAGTTGGGAAGGGAGTTTTGAATGACAATAAAACTCCAACTAAACAGAAACTCAGGAAGAAGGATATGGTGGCATTTCAACTATTCTGATTTATTATGAATGGAAGGTTGCAACTCTTTTCGTTCCAACTCCTCATTTGGGAAATACGTTTAAAATTCTAAAATTTAAAAGCAAACTTTCCTATCATGATAAATAAATCAAGGATCCCTACCCTTTGGGGGAGAAGCAGCTACTTTGCATTTTCCTAAAACGTTGTGAGGCGTAGAGAATGAGGCATGTTCAGGGAGGAGTGCAGACTGTGAAGCCCAAGTGGAAAAGGAGGCGTCCCCGGCGCAGTTGAGAACTCCGGGTTGCCCCCGGGGGATGCACCGGGCACCACAGCTTTGCCCACAAGGGAAGACACGGCACACCTATTGTGTCCTTTTCTGGAGTCACAGGATTTTACAATCTTACAATCCTTCGTTCCAGACATCTACTCTATAGATGCAGGTAATATGAACAATTACAAAGAGTAGAATTTGCCCCTGCATATGGTGGGGTATGCATATGTTGACTTTTTTTTTTAAGTTTAATTCTTTCATGGCACTTTTTTGGGTGCCTTCCCCCCCCCCCGCCCCCACAACACTCACAGAGGGGGAAATAATCAGATGATATGTGTGTTCTAGTTAGTTTAGGCCCAGAAAACCGAAGAAAAAGCTGGCTTCTTTGATTAGCAGTTGCCATCATCCCTCTTTCCCCTGCGGAGACCTAGTTAGTGGTGTTTACAAACTTGGGCTTCTCTTGCAGGTGCCAAGCATGTGTAAGGCAGAGAGTGACTTCTCAAAGGGGAAGGAAGGGGGAATTTCTTTTTTAGCCCTTGAGGCCCCTGGTTCACTGTGACCCCAAGATCTTCATGATCGAGGAAGAGAAAGCTTTTTCTTCTCTCTTTCTCTCTATCTCCCCAGCATATTGCAAATGGTGTTGAGACCTAATGTTGTCAACTCAGATAGCAAATCTGAGTTGTTATTAGTGCAAAGATGCCCTAAGGGGGTAGGCAGTGTGGATGAGATCTGCAACGGATGTTATGGGGAAGTGTGTTTATAATTATAATGGGATTTAATGTACACTGGGACCAGATGATGGCAGCCATTTAAAAAAGAGATGCTTAATAAGAGAGGTCCCTTAATGACAGGCAGCAGGGCTCAGGTTATTATGGAAGAAGCACAGTGTTTCACTGGGTGTCACAAACCATGTGCCAGGTTTTATGGGGTTCCTAACAAAGCTTTGGGGTGAAGCATAGCAACCATCATTGCTGTCAGCTATGGGCATAATGCTTTAATGTTGTTGTCTTTGAAAGGGGCATATGCGCTTAGAGAAAGGCATTTGCTCCCTTTCAGATACGCGTACACACATAAGCACAAACACGTAGGCCCCGGGCCAACGTTGAATAGTTGTTGGTGTTTCTGGAAATCTGCTTTGTTCTGCGAAAGATGGCCTCAATTTCAAAACTAAAATTTTGTAGCCATGGAGGGGTGCGTTTTCCGCGTAGTGTGCATGAAATGAAGCAGCATGGCTGCCATTATGGGTACTGGGAGTCCCACAGCTAAATCCCCAGCACCATCCGGAAAATTAACCCCCAAGTCCTCAAGGGAAGACAGGGGCTTTTTTTTTTTTTTTTTAACACTCTGGTGTTTCTTTGTTGGGGGGGGGCCAGGAAAAGTACGCAACATTTTCTTATGCTGTTTAACTTTAAACAGCTGACTACTTAACTTTTCGGTTGTTTAACATTATGGATTTCAAGCCGCTGCAGCTGTCTTACAACAGGAGCGCTACAGTTAGGGGCAAAGCCTGACGTTCATGCAGGGGAAGGCCACGCTCCTTGGAGATACCACCA